GCGCTGCTACAGTGGACAAACGCGCATTGTCGAGAGGTCGTCCGTGTGTGTGTTCGGAAACGAGTGAACTTTGTCACCCACTTTCAACTCACCAATCGGGGAAGCTGGGAGGCAGAAATTTTGGGGCATATTCCCATCCCAGAATGTGTCGCCTTCCCGTTTTAAAAACTTCGCTCATACTCACCTAGACCTCGCGTACGGACAACCGAAAAAAATATGCATATTTCATTGACGGGTAACGATTTCGTGAATTAGAGAGATAGAAAACTGAAACTTTGCAAAGATATTCTTTGTGCATATATGAGCTAAATATTTCAAATTAGGCTGTCGCACCCGCTTGTGCTCACGTCAAAGCTCACAGCTAGTACTGTGCTAACTCGAAAACTAGCCGAAAAACAACAGCTTAAATTTTATCAGAATATTGTTCATATGAGAAAATATATGAAAATATTTATTGTTCATACGGAAAATCATCATTCTGTTTCACTCACTTGCAGTTATTAACTTCGACTTAGTTGTCATAATATTAAACAGTTTTTGGAGCGTTTTCTCTTCTTGCTTGGTTTCTACTCACTATTCGTTCTTTTTTTTTTTCTATGTTCTTAACTTAGACAATAGTACAATTCACGTTTTTATTTCTTCTGCTGCAGTCGTAGTTCGTTAGTAATCTCGTTATAGTTATGCGATAAAATAGCGCATCTGCAAAGCTTGGCATTTATCACGTGCCTAGATGTTTGAAACATAGGCCACTAGTTTCAGTGTTATTGTTAGAAGCCAGTGAGGTCGTTTTCTTGAAATATGCGTTGAGTGAAAAGCACACTTGCAAGAAATTTTTCCAGCATAATAAACTAAGTCGCCTTCGCCCCGACCTGTTTTTACAACTGTTGAACAGGAGGGCTGGAAAATCCCAACAAATGATGCTTGTACTGATTACAGCCCTTCGTTTGATTAAAATAACAAATTTATACGTCGTTTTCCAAGAAATGTCTTTTACGCTGTGCCATTCCTATGTTACTGGAGAAATGTCAAGTTTCGTATCGAAGGTGTACATGTGTTCTTTCAGGATTCGTGATGAGTTTATTGAGGTGAAAATGGAAAAGTTTGATGGCTTTGAATACACAAAGAAAGATCTTATTGGTCACGGCGCATTTGCAATCGTCTACAAGGGTCGATATGCCGATGTAAGCTCTCAAAATTTCTCATTCTGTTTGACTTACATGCGCTTAAAATTAGCGAGAAAAGCGCAGTTGCGCAGGCAGAAATTGAACGATTTTTTTGAGATGCATTCAGGAGTCAAGTGCTGCAGATTCTGTTGCCCGGAGCAGTAGTAGCAAGATGTTTTTTAGCTCTATACCAGTGCCAAAAAATCATAAGTACGGAATCATCATTTAGTTGCACGTCACCCAGTTTACTGCACTTTAACGTTGATATCTGCTTACACCGACACCTTGATTTCATTGATGCGTTACTTCTCGCACTTTTACAGCTGGCAGCTTTTCCGTTCTCTCTTTCATACTTCTCTCATTCACGTAGCTCCACGCAGGTGTTCAAGCGGGTCCTTCCACTGTGCGAAGGAGACAATAATAATGGTAGTGATAATATTAGTAACAGTAATAATGACAATGATGGTAATAATAATAATAACAATGACAATCATAGTAGTAGTTGTAGTTGTAGTGTAGTTGTAGTTGTAGCAGTAGTTGTAGTTGTAGTTGTTGTTGTAGTAGTTGTAGCTGTAGTAGTTGTAGCTGTAGTAGTAGTTGTAGCTGTAGTAGTAGTTGTAGTTGTAGTTGTAGTTGTAGTTGTAGTTGTAGTTGTAGTTGTAGTAGTAGTAGTAGTA